CACCAGAGCCAGCACGCGCGGGAAGCCCACCAGCGACGATCATATCGACGTCAACTTGGTTCCTGCCAATCTGAAAGTCACCATGAACGACCGCGGTCGCGCCCATGCTACAACGGGCCGCGTGGAGCCATCCGGTCTTCCCTTCACTCAGCTGGCTGAGGTAGCCGATCAAGCCCAGCTCCCATGCCCTGGCGATACTGAGAATTTCGCCCACGTTGCGGAAGACCCCTTCATGATGCCGCGTGCTCACGCCTACGTCACGACCACTCACGAACACCACGGGATCTTAGAGGAGACGAATCGATCAAAATCCCCAACACCTACGACGAAGCCATGAGCTCTCCCCAGCGCGAAGAATGGAAAGGAGCGTGCAGCAAGGAAATGGACAATCTGCGGAAACACAACGTCTACAATCTGGTGCCCCTCAGCAGCGTTCCCAAGGGAGAGAAGATCCTCGGAACAAAATTCGTCTTCAAGAAAAATCTGGACGGACGCTTCAAAGCTCGCCTGGTAGTCGGAGGATATCGTCAAGAGCCAGGACAGGACTACGGACGCAGCTACGCACCAGTATGCCGCATCGGGAGCATTCGCATGACGTGCGCCATTGGCTGCCACAACAACTGGCCCATCTACCAACTGGACGTTGTCGATTCCTTCCTGAACGCCCTCTGACATGTGTACGTCAGACCCGCCCCCGGTACATCCGCCAAGAACTCCGCGACGGGAGAACCCATGGTGTACAAACTAGAACGGAGCCTCTACGGCCTATCGCAGTTGCCTGCACTCTGGAACGACACCCTGGACGAATCCCTCACGGTGTTCGGATGGAAAAGGACTCAATCCGACCCCTGCGTGTACGTGTATACCAGCGGCAACATCATCGTGATTCTCACGGTCTACGTAGACGACATTCTCATCACAGGAGGAGACCAGCAGCTCGTGGACCAGAAGAAGAAGGAGCTCACGGATCGATTCGAGATGACCGACATGGGAGAGGTAAAGCGGATCCTCGGGATCGACGTGCAGCGGGACTACGAGCAAGGAACCCTGGCCATTTCACAGGAGCACTACGTGAACACACTTCTGGAGCGGTTCGGAATGCAAGAGGCCAACCCAGTGCGTACTCCTGGATATGGAGCGGAAATCTCCACGAATCAACCTCAGGACCAAATCCTAGGACCCACGGACAAGAAAATCTACCAGTCGATGACAGGAAGCATCCTTTACCAGGCCCAGTGCACGCGATTCGACCTCTCCTACGCAGCCCTTTAACTTTCCAAGGCCTGCAGCAACCCAGCGCAGGTGAACATGACAGCAGCCAAGCACGTTCTGCGATACCTTCGGGGTAATCCGGTCCTTCCTATCGTCTACAAGAGAGGACAGTTTCGGCTAGCGGCATGTACGGATTCATCCTTCGGAGCAAACCCTGACAACGGAAGATCTACCACGGGATATCTCTTCTTTCTGGCTGGAGGACTCATCAGCTACGGTGCGAAGACTCAAACTCTAACCGCGCAAAGCACGGTCGAAGCCGAGATTCAAGCACTTAGCCACTCAGCCAGAGAGGCGGTCTACGTCTCAAATTTTATGACGGAACTCAACTTCAAGACCTTCGGATCGGTTCCCATCAACAGCGACAGCACCGGAGCGCTGACAGTGGCCGGGAATGTCATGCACTCTCAACGCACGAAGCACGTGGCCCTGAGGTACTTTTTCATCCGGGAGCTAGTTCTGCGGGTACAAATCACTCTTCACCACCGGCCCAGCGAGCACCAGTTGGCTGATATCGCGACCAAGTACCTCCCAAAGCACCGATTCGCCTCCATCATTCAGCAGATCAAGGACTTCTCGTGTTGATCGAAGATCTGTGAAGCTTCCTTCCATACCCGCCATACCAGAAGGAAATTATTTTCGATACGATGCCAGCGGAGGGGTCGAGGTAGACAAGGATATGGTGATGCCGTCGACCATTGTGAATTAGTTGCTTGATCGAGGGGTTACACACAGCAGCAACTATCACGAACACCCTCCCTTGGGGCTGTTGTCTCGACCAGATAAAATATACATCAGAAAAACAACAAACAAAAAAATGAAACAAGACTCAGACCTCTACTTCTCAGATCTCGAGCCTAGACCAAAATTAATTACGATGAACTTCAAAAAGATCTCTCGGAAGAGCCTTCTTCAGGGTGTCCGCATGCTGTCTTTCGCTAGAGACATGATGACTGATTTCCAATATTCCCTCCTCTGTCAAATTCCTAAGTAGTGCTGCACGTCAATGTGCATACTGTTACACGAACTAAGTGGAATCGCACCCTCGTTGTCCTCTCGTACCTGAATCTTACCAATTCTATCACTAGGCCTCAAGAACTCGAGCATTCCGTTGACAAACAGACAGAGCCTCTTGTACACCGTCACCCATCGCAACATACTCTGCTTCAGTTGTTGAAAGAATCACGCATTTCTGCGTCCTAGAATACAAGCTACAAGAATTAGTGCTCCCGAAACTGATCTACGGTCAGTGGCCTTGCTAGCGAAGTCTGCGTCTACGTACACCAACGTGCCTACGGCTACCATTCATCGTGTCCTGCTTGTACTTCAAGATAGATGTGCCGTCCCCAGAAGATAATTTAAAATCTTCTGGGCCGCCTTCCAGTGGCTTTTCTCTGGCTCGTGAGAGTGCTTCGCAACTGCCCGCACAACATTTGAGATGTCGGGCCTCGTCTGGTCGGCGATCCACATCAGGGTCCCCACCACCTCTCGGAACGGCACATCCCCTGCCTTCTCCTCCTCCATCACGGACCTGTCAACACTAGCAGGGGGAGCAGGGTCGAGCTGGTGCGACAAATATTGAATCTCTCGAGAACACTCCTGACGCAACGCTCTTGAGACATCTCAATGGTGCCAGCCTCGCGGTCGCGACTAAATGCGCAACCAAGAAAGAACTTGACCTCGCCCAAATTCTTGTGTGAAAAGCGACACCAAGCGCTTGCATAACTATCTTGGCAAGCCTCTCAATTCCTCCATACAGAATGTCATCCACATGAATCGCGATCATACCCATCACCTCGTTTCCCATCATGAAACGCAGAACACAGGGGTCAGATAGAGATTTTTCGACACTAATGTCACGAGTCGCTAGCACGCAGGGTAGAGGTCGCAAGTGTGTAAGCAGTGAGTACGTACAGCTCCCGTTCACGGCACGGTTTCTAGCGCGAGAAAGGGGATTATGGCTCCTGAAAGGTATTCTCTCATGCAACGATGCACACACACTGACCTCTCTTTGTGCAATCGAACGACTGTACCGAGTGCGATGAGTAGTGAAGATACTCGTACCAGCTGTAGTAGCCGTGTAGCGTCGGAGCAAAAGCCTCCTTGTGGATGTTATGGTCTTATTCTTTTAGTTCAAGCTCAGGATGGTAGCTTGGTTGTGAGCAGAGGAGGGCGAGTCCGGCAGCTCTTGCAGAGGCTCCGCAGAATGCGGCCAACTACCTCTGTGGGGGTGTACTTGCGGGACAATGAATGTCTCGAACCGTAACACTAATAATCCTCTTCAGGTCCGACACAAATCTCTCGAGAAATGTTCTACATGCCTGCCTCAGTTCATCCAAAATCTGGTCTAAACGAACGACCTTTCCTGACATCGACTTGCAGCCACGAGGCAACTTGAATACCTTCCAAGTTGTACTTGTACGCCAATGCTACCTTAATATATTATGTGGATTGTGTGTACCCCAGCACGTAGCAGGAGAAACTGACGCCCACCAACGCTAGTCGGTGTGATAGCTCGCGGAGCTTGTAGCAGCAGAAGCACAGCAGTACTTCAGTGCAGAAGAAGATGGAGAGATGTTGTAAACACGGCGCTTCTGTGGCCGACACAGACAGATACACCCGGGAGACGGTTGTAGTCCAGGCAGTATGCCAGCAGCATCCAAGGTACGACAAGTATAGCTTAAGTACCCAGACAGTCCGATAGATTACAGAGAGAAATCCCAAAGTGTGAGGTCGTGCACCGAACGACAGAACGAGCTACAGACTACGTACAGCTCTTAATTCCTCCGCATACGTTACGTTCCAACCGATACATAGGTAACACATACGTCATTCGTCTACATAAGCAGTAGTACTGAACATTGATTACGACAGGAGATGCGTAGTCTAGGCATTTCCATAACAAATACCAAACGGATTGATGCAGCATTTGCAGTAGGCGAGAAAGTCTCAAGATAATCCCCACCATACTTCTGCTTGAAGCCCTTCGCTACAAGCCTAGCCTTGGCCGTCACTATCTTGCCTGTTTCATCTGCTTTCCATTTGTAGCATCTATCACGTTACAGCCTTTTGGGGCCTTTACTGCTAACGCGAATGTTCCTGCTCTTAACAAGCCTTCACATTCTGCACACATGGCCTTGTCCCAAATCGTGGAGTACCTTGATTGGCGGGCTTCTTGATAGCTACCCGGTTCTGACTCTACGTCGTGAATGAGCACTTTCGGCAATTCCATTGCATCAGATGTTCTCTGCTCCACTAAGAGTGCTTCTACACTTCCAGATGCGGATATAGGTCCCAGAGTCGCCATGATGCCGGATACGGTCAGCTAGTTTACGGCCCGAGTTTGCCCACGGGCTCTGCCACTTCTAACCTCATCATTCTGATTCGCAGCAGTGTTGTCACCAGCAAGCTCATCATGCTGCGCACGACGTTTGGATGGTACGTGCGTAACAGGGGGAAGTGTCTCCGATTCTACCTCCTGCCCTCCCGGCTCCACTTGCTCTTCATCCAACCCTTCCTGACCCTCCGATTCTACCTCCTGCTCTCCCGGACCCGCCGATTCTGCCTCCCCTTTCTGCGGCCCTCCTTGCTCTCCCTCTTCGGTGAACTCTGCTGCTGGAGAAGACACGGGGGGAGCTGCGCTACTAGGGGAATTAATCGCGGGCGGAGATGTCACACAGAGGGGTTGACCCATACTGCCTGCATCAACACTGCCGACCTCATCAATTGCTCCACCCGAGACCGCTACATTACGTCGCAAAATAATTTTTGGGAATTCTTCTCCCTACAAGCGGCCACACCTCAGCTTCTACATCGTCATCACATTCCTCCCCTCCCTCTATCGGCAAGAGAAACGGTTGCGGTGGAGGGAGTTGTGACGGCAATGCCTCCCATGTCACATCCCTCGGTTCTTGAAATAGTTCCAGCCCTCGTAAGTATCAATGACAGTCACGCGGGTGGTCTCTCGAAGGACCGACATAAAAGCAAGCCTCACCCTTCCGTAGCAGCTTAGACGGTCGCTGTTACCTACAGTACGCCGGTATAAAAAACGGATAAGGTGTAGCAGGACTAGCTCGTCATACCACATCTCATACCGGGACGTGCTGTCTGGGTTAGCGGAACAAGCTGTGTGGTTAAGTGATTCCAAAGCCCAGTGCATGGCCCCAGCCCAGAGTCTGTCAGTCTTTGGTAACTGCACATGCCCAAACAAAACCTTCGCCTGAATACGAGCCGCCATTGCAGCTGCCTCAATCAATCCCAAACCACGCTCTGCAACACCGTTGTATTGGGGACTGTAAGTCAGGGTGAACTCTTGCTTAATCAAGAGCTCGTAGCACACAAGACGCAAATTCTCCTCCGAAAAACTCCCCCCATTGTCAGATCTAACAATCTCAACCAATGATGGGATACCTCCAGCACGCACACTTGCAAGGAAACTCCGGAAAGCACTCGCAGCGTCTGATTTACTTCTCAGGAAATACACCCATGCACGTCTTGTGAAATCATCCTCACTTTCATGGGGTAATGTTCACCCCCGACGGACGCAACATTCTTCCGCTCTCCCAGGTCTACAAAAACTCTGCCCAACTTTTTGTCTTATCTGCGTTTGATTTCATGAGCAATCCCTTAAAAAAATGCCTTCTACATCGAACGTCCCGCACACATATGAATTTCACCAGCCAACTCAATACCCATTCGCTTTGCTTTGTACGAAGCAATCCTCATGTGAATGAATGACCGTAAACGTTATGACTCTCGTTCACATCCATCTTCGTTACTTTGGGGAATAGAGGGGTGAAGACAGCTAACACCGAACCAACAGATTCATCTCCCAGATGATACACAGTAGCAACAACCTGCCATGGATATTCTGAAAAACAACTCTTTCATCGAAAGCAGCCATCACACCATCAAGACCACCGAGGCTACTTCATGACTTGCCATCAAACACTGCGCTGGGAGAAAATAGGTTGCACGAACCTTCTCCCAACCCTACTGAACACTCGCTGTCAGCAATCTCATACGGTTCCAGACAGCTAGTGATACTTCACAAGTCACGCCATCAATCCCTCATGCGTTCTAATGCCAAGACTTCAAATCCTAATGCTAGAAAGAGAGTCTGTCATGTGGAAAGCAGTAACCGTGTCCGCTACACCATTCTTCGACACATCTGTCCTTCCTCACAAGAACAACAGTAGTTGCGGACAGCATCATCACTTGACAAGCACCCCAGCAGCATGACTTCGTAATACGCTACCAGACACGTCAGATCATGGGAGTTGTTCAATCTGGGTTTTGAGAAAATAGCAATGTCAGACTTCTCACCGTTCTCTTTTCTGCCTGGTGTAGCACATCCACACTTACTTAATCCTTGCTGTACTGGAGTCAAGTCGAATTCAAAGCTTGCCATGGGAATCTCATGCGAAGACACACACAACGCTTCAAACAGACTACTGCTGTGCAGGGAACCCAGCAGAAAATGTTTTGACCACGACGGATACGAGAGAATGTTAGTCCCGTCAAAAAGAACAGGAGGAGGAGCTATTATGGGAACTTTGAAAGGACTCTTATGTACCCAACTTCTCTCCTGTGTCAGAAATGTCGGCCCCAGGGATCAATGTGGTTCCACTGGCGACATTTTCCCACCACCTACTTGATGCAGTAGGTGCGGGCGGAATAGAACTGGCTATTTAAAGCCCCACTACCTATTCCTGGAATGAAAGACTGAACAACCAAAGTCCCGCTTCCAATTCCAATCCAACCAAAGTTTGCAGCACCAACAGAGGAACGATTCACATCAGTTGCATGGGGGTTCAAGCCTGAATCTAATGTAAGACTCGTATTCCCAACCCGCACGCTGGACGTGCCAAGGACTGGGGCATTACCGCCCGTATCTCTTGCACTCCCGCCGGTGGCATCCGATTGATGCTCACCAGACATGCCAAGGACTGGGGCATCACTGCCCGTACCTGCCGCATTTCCGCCGGTCCGCCGGTGGCATCAGGAGGATGCCAACCGGCGTCGGTTCCGCCGCTGGCAGTACCACCAGCAGAATAGGCCTGTTTACCTGTCCTCCATCGGCCGTTTTATTTTCGATTTAGATACACAATCTTTATTTCTATACTAATTTCAAGTAATTCCACCTTCTTATTCTCCGTCATACAAGCAAAACGGCCGATGGAGAACAGGCCTACCAGCAGAGGAACGACCTACAATTGCACGAAGGTTCAAGCCTGAGTGTACAATACTACTACTCCCAACCCACATGCTGGACATGCCAAGGACTTGGGCACTGCTGCCCGTACCTCCCGCAGTCCTGCCAGTGACATCCGATTGATGCGCACCAGCGTACTCTGTTCCGCCGCCTCCGGGTGCAGCAGCTACAGGAATAACGGAGGACTCCACCTGATCACCTCGTTGCCCAACAAGCGACTTGACTTTACTCGTGAGCTATAACAACTGTGTCTCAATCTAATCCGATCTCTCACCACCAATGACATCCTGTACGAATCAACCGGAGGTGGGTCATCCATGATCCCCAGCAGGCCCACTCGTGAGTACCAAACTTCGACGTTAGCACCGTTGACGAGGGAAATGGACGACTGGACCCTACTCGAGATAAAAATAAAATTCAGGAAAGGTACAGCGATTTTGCTGAAATCGTGAGAATTGATTGCAGGTGAAGAAAAAGTTCGTTTTGGTTTGTTTCTCCGCCTGGAATTTTTCTTTCTCTGTCGCTGAGAGGACCTTCCATCCTTTCATGTTTACGAAATAATCTTTATTTACTTGCAGGTGATTTCGGCCCAACGGCAAGCGGCACGGCAGTGGTACCCTTACAATCTACCATCGATTCCCTGAAGTCGAGCGTGCTCATGAGTACGTTGTTGTTGTTGTCATGACCTACATGGTCTTGCTCTCTATCAGGTGCGGGTTCCCCGATGCCAAGAGAGCACTTTCTCTCAATAGAAATAGATCCATGGCCGGACCACGCACAAGGTAGCGGGTGCACATGAGATCTGAACCATCTCTCTCTCAAAAAAACTTGCGGTTGCCAACAACTCTTTTTTGTTCCTCGCTGGTGCTGTGCTGTCCATTGCATGCGTGGGCATAAAAATCAAACGTTCTCTTCAAAGGTTATTCGAATGACAAAGTCTCTTGTTTGTCTGACACAACGGGATGCTTTAAAGCCAACCCTGGAAATGCCCTCGCTTGGTATGAGCGGGTGCCATCCGGCACACACTGGGCATTTTGCGTGCCTAACCATGAAACACGCAGTATTTCTGGTCAATTCCCATCCAAAGACTTGGGACGCCTTCAAAACCAACCGCATGCGTCTGACGGGGAAGAGTGGTCATCTTGAAAACATCTAGTGCTAGCATTTGTACGCAAAAAAAAAGGCACGTTTACTGCTCTCGATACCGACGTGCATCAGCAAAAACTGCATCAAAGTGCACACGGTGCTGTGTCTTGTGTGCCCGCGCACCCAGAATGGGGGAGATGGAACAAGGCATACTCATATCTGACACACACGCTCTTTTTCTCACGTCATAAGTATTCCTTCCACCAGCTGCCCTCAACCGCGTGTGCACGCTCTTGTCGACAAATCTACCTTGTAGATAATAACATTTGCCCTTCCACCGCAGAACCATGCCAACACGACAAAAAAAAATCGCCGAACAGATAAAGAGACTCCTCTCAGTTCCTCTCCACCTCCAGCCGCTGCCGGCCCTCCCTTAATCGCCAGCTTCTCCCCCCGTTCCCAAAAGCACCAGCAGCACAAACAACGCTATAATGAAGACAATAAAAAATGACCTCTGATTCGGCCACTGCTATGTACTACCACCGCCACTGCTTCGTCACGTCAGAAATCAACGTCTGGCCGGAACAAAATCAACCCCTCCCTTTCTCCTCCCCCACGCCACCCCCCCCTGCTCGGAACGAGCCCGCAAACATGCTCCCCGCTGCGGAGTCCTGCGCCGCCAAGCGGCGAGTGCTTCCCCCGGCGGTGTCTCCGTAGTCTGTCGCCGCCACCGACATGGACGCCGAGTCCCACCGCTCCAGCGAACGGGACCGGCTTTGCCTCACGTGCGCCTCTCTCTCCTGCACACACAAGAGGGTTTGATTCTCGTTGTTGTTGCCTTTCAGTCTACGGGTAGGTAGGTGGCGTGGGGTATTGGTTGGCGGGTGTTTTGTAATCAAAAGCGTAACCCCCTTCCTGCGCACAAAGAGATCATTGTTGTTGGTGGCATTGGGGTATTGATTGTGGCCGCTTGAAGCAAGGAGCGCATCACGTAGATACAGCACCGGGTTTTAAGCAACAGCATCACCACCAACACAACCATGCCAACAACAACACAACCATGCCAACACCAACACAACCATGCCTGCAACAAAGTTGAGTAACAGCAGCCCCAACGATAACAAACCCATATCGGCGACACACCGTCAAGCTTCACGACCACCTCCAACACACCCGTGTGGGCAACACGATCAAGCAACAGCAGACCCCCGACAACACCCATCAGCATCCATACTAACCTCGGCGACAAGGTTGCGGAGCTCCTCCTGGGTCGTGCTGGCACCGGGCCCGAAGGCCGCCGTAACGTGGTCGAACGCGAAGGAGGAGCGGTTCGGAACGGCGTCCGACCCCTCCGTGATGCCCTCCGTGATGCCCATCGAGGCAAGCTCCCCCGGGTTCATGCCCTCGCTGAGAGCGCGCAGTGTTTCCGGGCCCATCTTCCATTTCTGACAACCCGAACAATGATAGGCAGGGGGTGGATATTGCACAAAAAGTTGTCAATCGATGGGCGGGTCCGTCCCGTGATTGGCCGTCAAACATTTCTGACAAAACCGCTATGATGGGCGGGAGAGGAACGATAGCGACAAAAAAGATAACATTCGGCGAGAGGGCCCGCTGGGCGATTGGCCGTCTAATCATCTACGGCTTCGGCAATAGTTGGGTAGTGCATACTAATTGAAAGTAAGATAACAATCGGCGGATGGGTCCGTTTTGAGATTTGGCCGTCTAATGTGTACGGCTTCGGCCATGCAGAAGGAATCGACGCAACACCGTTCATCGTCAGTCCGTCCGTCACGTTTGTTGACGTCGCTTGCCAACTCGTCAAGTTCGCTACACGGCGCACAGAAGTGCACTAACATTGGCATCAAGAGACACGACAGGTTTGACAGCAGTCCTTGGTAGCATCAAAAATTTTCCAAGCAACAGTGACGAACAAGACGCATCTTGCTTCCCGGGCCGCTGCCGTCCGGAGACTGCTCAAAAACGGTCGAACTCCTGCTGTACCGACAAAAACACTACCAGGACTATTACCGGACCCGCCGCTGCTAGTAAAGGGCTTTGTGGCACCACGGCATACTACTTGTGTGCTGCCAAGACTACGACCGCCACCATTAACCCTAACCCTAACCCCAATACACGCCAACTCTGCATCAAAGCAGCGGCGCACACGCCACCAAATATTCCACGGGGGTGACTGATCGGTGGACTGACTCACGTGGTTCGTAACGTCCCTCTTGGGGCCGGAGATCTCCTGAACGTCCGTGTAGCTGCCGGGCGTCGGGGACAGCTCTTCGGCCCTCGCCCGGTCCTTGAACTCTTTGAGCCGCTGCTGCCCGGTGTCCGAGGTGAAGCCACGGTCGAACTCTGCACACACAAAGATACCAGCAACAACAGAACCAACATGTGCTGTGTGCCACGGTCGAACTCTGCACACACAAAGATAGCAACAACAACAACAACAACAACAACAACAACAACAACAACAACGGAACCAAAATGTGCTGTGTGACCAAGACCGGCAAAAGAAAAACGTGCGGTAGAGCGGTAGTACTAAACGTTCACGCGCACCAAGCACATGCAGTATGCAGCGACTGTACTTTTCTTGCACGTGCTTAGCGAACTACTGTAGATGGGCGACGATCACAATTTTGGTAACTTGTCCGATGTGGAGCAGCATCATCCGCACAACAAGGAGGGGATCGACCTTGCTGCTGATCAATCGAGACGTGCGTCTCGCAGATACAGACAACTAACAGGACGTGTACCGGCACAACAACAAAAAAAAATGGGGGAAAAACACACAGAAATACATGCCCTTCACAGCCGTAGATGATTAATTCTGAGTAGGCTCTTCGCGCGTTGTTGCATGGCCTAAAAACGTACATGAACCAAACGAGGCCCATCTACCTGGCCATGAGCAAAAAGCAACGCCCAGTTAGTAGAAGGTATCAAGGAAAGTCGCCCCAAGCAACGGCAATCTAGCATAAGCAACCGAGAGGATTATCGTACGTCCTCTCCTCTCTCATTGGTTGCTATAAATACCTCTGGCGTGGTGGCCAACGGTTGGGCGAAAGTTGTGCTCCAGCATCTTGATGAGGGTATCCAAAGACCATGTCACGCACGGCACCTAAGATCAAACCGAACAAAACGAAAAGGTTAGGGGCAGAGATAAGGGCAAGACAACAAGTTGGGCGTGAATCAATCAAAACGACATGAACCTGAAGAATAGACTCATGTGCAGGTGTAGGGAGAGAGAGAGAAAGAAAAAGAGAGAGAGAGAGAGATGGAGAGGTTGGAAAAAAAAAGCGCAAAAAGCGAGGAAGGTAAGAGACCGAAGAGATTGAAAAAGTGACAAGAACGCAAAGGAGATGGAGACCCACGGAGGGACACGGAGAAATGGACTAAAACACACGACAAGAACAACACGATGAGATCAAAGAGGAAGCATACGCGCGCTAGCCACGCACACGACACACACAAAAAAAAAAAATGAAAGTGAAGCCGCCATCACGGCCGTTGCCTCTGTCTGCTTCGTTAGGCGACGGCAGCGTCCGATGTGTACTCCTCAAACCTGACAAATGATTAATCAAACCTGAAAATAATTCATGAAAATCACTTCGCCCATATTAGATCGCACTGCGAAGCACCCCATTTCATTTGAAGTTTTCATAGTAACACAGAAACCTTAAAGTAGCCCACGAGTTGACTTCATCAAGACCCCACATGACTGGTAGAGCACCCGCTTTTCGGCTCTGCGAGATACAGTATCCGAAAAACAGCCACATCTCTCTGTTGGGTCATGTATATACTTACCGTATATGACACAACATAACACACGCCCTGGACCAATTTTCAAAGCTCGATTACTCCACGACGAAGAGGATGCATAAACGAAACGATACATTTTCGACAACCTCTCGACGAGACGGTTTCAACGCCGCCGTTTTTCGGCGCTGTGACTGTTCATGCAGTTGAGAAATCGAGCTTCGAAAATCGGTCAAGGGGGTGTGTTATTTTGTGTCATATACGGTAGTACACAACAGCGAAAACGAACGGCGACATCCGCATCGGCAGCGGAGGTTACGGTAGCAGCACCAGCACCAGCATCAACACCAGCACCAGCACCAGCACCAAGACCAAGACCAAGACCAACAGCAGCAGCATCAACAGCAGCACCACCACCAGTAGCAGCAGCGCGGTAGACACAACATATAGTAAGCGAGTATCACAACAGCAACCGTACCAGCCTCAACCGGAGCCGCAGCCGCAACAACATCAAATCAGCAACAGCACCGTCGACCACAACCGCCTGCTATCGCTGCACCAGAAACAACACTACCACCAACCCCAACGCTAACAACATCATCAAACACACACCTGAATGATGATGAGCCAGAACGCGCAGCGGCTCATGAGCTGTATGGCCACGTTGTAGAAGTCGTAGGCGTACGACACCAAGAGGGAGTAGAGCGAGATAAACGAGAAGAAGAGGGCTATCGATCCCCACCAGAAGAACCAGCTCTGGTAATTCCACGTCTGTGTTCCGCCAAAGAAAAACCATACCATCCACGTTGCCGCGTTTGGAGTTCCGCACATGGATCGGGAAGGGGAGTGAGTGCTCAGGAGGAGGCATCGTTGTAGCTGCTGGCGTTACGTTGAGAGGCATCGAAAAAAACAGAATCCCACCGTCGTACTGATCCCACAGATAAAAGAAGGAAAAGTTGGGGTTCGCTACGAGATTCCGCAAAAAATATCTCAGCAAATCAAACTCCCTATCATCATACACACACGCATGCTAGGTATGCAAGGGTGTGTCGATGCACGACACACAAGAACAAATAAATACTTTTTTTTAGGAAAGTATGTGGTACATATTGAGGCACACATATACATGTGGAGGACCAAACACAAAATCTCACATTGGTCATGTTGAAGACCTTCATCATCATAGCCATGATGAGGCCGGCATATACGGTGGTGCCGAACACGTACAGCCCGTCGCCGTAGCCCCTCTCCGCCCACACCGTTGAGGCGTCCCTGTAGGCCGCCAGCGGCAGGAAGAAGATCGTCAGGGAGTCCAGGATGGCCTGGCACACCCACTTCGTCATCGTCTGCGAAAAGGGAACAGGGGGTGTTCCAGTGTGGGTGGGCGGTGACGGGTGCAGCAATTGGAAATAGGTTTAGGATTCACGGAATGAGGAAGATTCGATTTCATGGTAGGAGCGTCCACAGGTGGGTGTATTGCTTGGCGGTGTATGTACCCGTACCGTGAAGCGACAAGTGCCCAGACCAAGGATTCGCCATCGTCGGCAACGGTTAAGGGGTATTCGAGCATGCATGGGTGGTGACGGGTACAACATTGGAAAGAGGTTAGGATTCACGCGGACACAATGCATTAGGAAGAACCATTTTTACTACAGGAGCGTTCCAAGTTGAATTCCTATTTTACGTGGATGTAACAACATTTAGCGACAGGGAGTCAAATGATGAAGACACATGGGTGCGACATGTTGCACTGTAGTAAATCCGGAATAGACGGCGCTAAAAAATATAATCCATCGTCGCAGAGCTGGCCCAAACCATCACCTCGCACACCCACGGTCGCCAAAGAGCCATCACATCTTTCGAGCATTTGCCATCCAACAAAAAAACACAGGGCAGGCGCGACGCCCCCAGACCCCCCCTCCCCCCTCCTTCCATGCGACTAGCCCAATAACCACGGTGCTTCGCGCTTGGTGGTGTTAGGGCCTGGTCCGGTGAGAACCCAGCGTGCTCCGTCCCGGCTCTGAAGGAATGCGAGGTCAACGTTCTAACGAATACGGCATGCACGACTATTGGGTACCCCCCCCCCCCCCCCCCCCCCCCCCCCCCCCCCCCCCCCCCCCC